TAATGTGTTTGCTGACAGGGTATGCATACTTAGCAGAAAGTCTCCACTGTAAAAGAAATGATAAAAACTCAAATACAGTCCCTTTATCTCCTCTCTTCAAGCATCGAGGGAGATGGGAGGCATGCTAGGAACTGGAATGGCTTCATGAGAAACTCTCTCCTTGGGTTCTGCATCTGGCATTTACCCCCTTCCTATCTTTCCGGTCTCCTCACACCTTACTCTCCCCTTCCACACCTGCTCTGATCCAGCCACAATGGCCTGGAGGCAGCTCTTTACACACAAGACTCCATCTCCCAGTTCTGTATAGATAGATGACAGGCCACCAAGGCTTGGCTGCTCACTTCTTAGCTCCTACGTCTTTCTGGCTTCCTGACTTTCAGTAGGAGATCTCTTCCGGCTCCTCCTTCCCCTCTAAGATTACCTTCCATTTACCCACTATCTATCTTGTATGGCCCTAGTTATTACACCTGGTCTGTTCCATTAGAATGTGAGCTCCTTGAAGGCAGGCACTATTTCTGACATTTAATTTGTAGCCTCGGGTGAGTATCTGGTAAATAGTAAACAACTAAAAATGGGGCTGACTGTGCTGGAAGGAAAGTCTCTATCATCCCTTCACTTTTGTCTAATTCTGCTGTGTGTGATAATGGGATTTATAGCTGAAAGGGACAGTAGAGGTCATCTAAGGATTATCAATCTAGAGGTGAGAGACACCTCAGCAGCCATATGGAGGCACCTAGGAGAGGAACAAGGCCTGCCTGGATCAAGGGTTCTCAGCCTGGGGTCCATGATTTTAAAAAAGCATTTTGAAGGCTGCATTTCAATAGAATGGGTTTCCTTTGCAATCGTATATAGTTTACTTTGTGCATTTACAAGCAGGATTCTGAGAAAGGGTCTGGAGGATTCACCAGACGAGCACAGGGATCCATGACTTAAAAACAGTTCAGATGACCTGGCTTAGACAGATGGTGCTGCTTGCCTAACAGGACGCAATGATAAGGGAGCAGGGCTGGGACTCAAAGCCAGGCTTCTTCTTCAATAAGGAGCACGCCTGGAGGTTTGTCAGAACCGAGGCTGTGCTTGGGAATTAGCCCGGATGGGCAGCTGCTACACACAAAAAGATGGGAAATAAAAGCCACATGGGATAAGGCTGCAAAGGGGTGATTCTTCCCTCAGACTGAGAGCACAGAAAGTGGGAGTGATAACAATAACAATTAGCATTTATATAGCATTTACTACATTCCGTAGTAAATTATTATCTTATTTGAGCCTCACAACAGCCCTGGGAGGTAGGTGCTGTGATCATCCCCATTTTACAGATGAGGAAATTGAGGCAAGCAGAGGTGAAGTGATTTTCTCAATGTCTGGATTTGAACTCACATCTTCCTGAGCCCAGGCCCAGTTCTATCCACTGTAACACCCAGCTGAAGTTTTACCCTTAGGAGAAAGTCAGTTTTCTTGTGCAGAGGGAAGACAGGACCCTAATAAAGTTTCATCTGTTCCTCTAAAGAGAAGACTGTCTTCTCATGTTGTTAAGATGAGCTCCCTTGCAGATATGGGGAGCCTGGGGTGGAATAGGAGCTCGAGTAAAGTGGTCCGGAGGCAAGATTAGGGGTCCTGGGAATTGGCAGAGCAGGGAAGATGAAAGCAATTTACTTTAGGAAATGGTGCAAAGTAGGAACTTAAAGGTAGCTAAGTTATGTAAACAGTGTTGGACTTGGAGTTAGGAAGATCTGAATTCAAATTCTGCCTTAAAAGCTGACTAGCTATGTGGTTCATGGAGAGCCACCCAATTTCTCTGTGCCTCACTTTTTTCATCTGTAAAATAGAGATAATACTACCATTGTAGTAATGGGTAGTTACACACAAACACACACATCAGTGGACAGGACACCGGGCCTGGAGTTGGCAAGACCTGTGTTCAAATCCTACTTCAGACACTTAGCTGTGTGACCCTGGGAAAGTCACTTAACCCTGTTTGCCTCAGTTTTCTCATCTGTAAAATGAGCTGGAGAAGGAAATGCAAACCATTCCAGTATCCTTGACAAGAAAACCCCAAATGGTGTCAGAGACAGTCAGACATGACTAAGACAACTTCTATAAATGCTATCTATTTTTATTATGCTTTCTACTAAGAGGCAATGTGGTGGAATGTAAATCTGTCGGCACCAGAAGTAAGAACAAGTTATTTAGGATCATAGGCTTTAGAGATGGAAGGAATTGTAGAAGCCCTCTAGTCAAACCCCCTCATTTTACAGATGAGGAAACTGAGGCCCAGAGAAGATGCAGAATTCGTTCAAGCCCCCTCACTTCACAGATGAAGAAACGGAGGTGTGGAGAAGTTACAGGTTGAAGATATCTGAGGTTAAATGTGAACCCAGCTTCTGAGATTCCAAAGGCATTGCTCTGTGATTAGACCAAAGTCACAAAGATAGTAAGTAGAAGAGCCAGGATTTGAACCCTGCTCTTCTGATCCCAAATCCAGTACAATTTTCAGTACTGAGGATCCTGATCCAGGTTCCTCATTGGCAAAATGAAGAGGTTAGCCTCAAATGACCTCGAGGGTTCCCCCTAGCTCTACAATGCTTTAATCTGACATGCTATCAAAGGAATAATTAAAATATCAGTAAACTGCATATTTGTGATTGATTATAATCAGCAACCTATGCTGAAATGGCCTCTACTGATGACTTATCATCCAGAGAAAAAGCTCAGTAACAATATTGTAAGCAAATAATAAAAAATATAAGGGTAAGAGTAGAGTTTTAGCTTTTTAACCTTCTCATTATTACTTTTTTTTTTTTAAAGGAAACCCACTGTGGGTTCTGGTAGCAATGCCAGCAAACACAATGTCCTGCCATCGTTAAAAGTATATTACAATTTGTGGTTGTGTAACTAGCATTTGACATGGAGTGGAGTTCTATTTCAACCTGATTTAATTATATGCTCCTTTTATATATCGTAGATGGCTCACACTAGCAGAATTGTTTTGCCTGGTGAAAAACTGGCCATGACTTGTCATAATGGGCTGGTTTATAGAACTACTGAAGTATAGTTAGTACCCATCATGTGGGAATTATGGCACTATAACAACCCTTTATTTACATATACTGCTGAGACAGTAAAAATGGCAAATAGATTTCTTAAACTGAGACAGCAGAAATATCCCCCTAGGGTATTTGGCCCTCATTGTGGCAGTAACATATGCAAGTCTAAATAACTTTGGTGTCTGTATTTCTGCAGTGCATCATCTCATAGACACTTTATACCAGTCTAATAATAAGATGGACTCTAAATTTGGAGTTGGGCTTCCTGAGTATTCGATTGTAATACATACTGCGAAGGCTATAAGTGATTTGTGAGAAAGGTTTAAATTTACTAATCACATAGCTGTGGAGTGATCCTGCAAATGGGCTGGAGGAAAATCAATGGCAGAGCTGCTCCCATGCCCATCTGCCTTGGAAAAGGATGGATGCTTGACTTAGTTTACAATTAACTCAGATCCCTCATCCGAGGAAAGTCAGGAAGTTGTTCCAGCTTTATTTTCTGGGACTTCAATAATCTCAGTGTCTTTCTCAAAAAGAAAAAGCAACTACAAATGTTTTGCTGCTACTCCTCCATCCCAAATTATTTCCCTTCCCTTGCTGGTGTCTTTTGCCGTTGTGAGACAGACAGACAGAGAGAAAAAGAAAAGGACAGAAAGAGAGAGAAAGAGAGAGACAGAGAAAGAAAAAGGAAAGAGAGAAGGAGAGAGACAGAGTGAGATAGAGGGGTAGAGAGAGAGAGAGAAAGAGGGGAAGACAGATAGGAAGAAAGAAAGAAAATGGGAGCGAGAGAAAGAAAGGGAATGACAGAGAAAAAGAAAAAGGGGAGAGGAAGAGAGAAAGAAAAAGTAGGGAGAGAGAGAGAGACAGACAGACAAGGTGGGGGGGATGGGGAAATCAGATGCTTACTGAGACTGTTATATTTGTCCTCAGACTTCATGTAAGATGTTCTTTTCTCAGGCCTGGCTTTCTACTACATTACTTTTATCATTACTGTTATCTCAATCCACACATTTCACCTGACAAAAGTAACATCAGTACTAAGCCTACTTTCCCTCTTATTTTTGATATCCAGGTTAGCTATATTCACTTCTGCCTCTTCCCTCCTGTGCTCAGCTTTCATTAATATTTTACCTCAAAGACAGTAGTTAGAACTGGGAGGGACCTTAAAGGCCAGCTAGTCAACCCTCCTATTTTATTGAAACTGAGGACATCAAAGGCCAAAGAAGATAAGTGATTTCTCCTGGGTCGCTCAGATGGTAAGTGGCAGAGTTGGGATTTGAACTCAGGTCCTCTCATGGCAAATCCACGCCTCTTTTCACTAGGACATGCTTTAAACCTGGTTCATAATTCTATGCTCCCCTGAATGGGTATGATCATTATCTACAGCCTTCCTTACTAAAGCCATGCCTTCAGTGTTGATGTGGACCGCAGCAGTAAAACACAGAAAAGCAATGTCATTGGTTCAGATCTGGCTCTGCCGTCATGTGATTGCAGGCTTTGATTTCTAGATGCCCTCTAAAGTTCCTTCTGGTTCTACATCTATGATCCTATAAGTAACAGACTACATAAATGGGCTGGGAGAGTACCCAAGGAAGATGGTAACTCCTTAGATTTTCCCACCTTTGCTTTTTACCTTTAATGCTACAAATAGGTCTTGGAGAAGCTGGGCTCAGTCCTCCCCTAACTGCGAAGCCCTTGGTTCATATATAAACAGGATTCAGGAGCCCTGCAGGAATCTGGGGTTTGTATATTCCTCCCTTTGTTGAACATTAGCGTTGCTTATGAACACATGGCACTTCGCCACTCACTGAATAAGCCAGCAAGCTCCAGAGGACTGGCGCCATCCAAAGAGGCACATTTCTAACGGGGTCCCAATATGAAAGGGGTGCATGGCTCAGCTGCCTCTGAGTAAATGGGAAAAGGGGTTGGGAGCTGGGCTGCAGGCAGAGCACTTACCGCCAGATGGCAGGCCGGCACAGCTCCCTCCGTTCTGGCAGGGGTTCCGTTCACAGGCGTCGGGTACAGGACACATCCCAGCTTGAGCTCGGTGAGGCCCACCACCTCTGCAAAGCTGCTGCGTTTGTTCTGCAGGGGCAGCTCATTGTCATTCAGGACCACAGAATCCAGGCAGCCCTGGAAGCCGCTCAGGACCTGCGTGACCCTCTTGTCCGTCAGGCTTCGGATGTTGTCCACCTGCACCAGGGCGCCGAAGTAGATGGCACTCTCCGGGCCCGGGGTCTGGAAGTAGAGGGGCGCTTTGCGACGTTCCACATAGCTATCGTCCAGCGACAAGCTCGTGAAATTCTGATTGAGCTCTAAGAAGACTGAGTGCCAATTCCATCATTCACGGCCCGGCCGGAGATGCCCAAGATGCCAGGTCCCGTGCCACAGTCCAACTGGAACCACAGTTTGCTGTCTACAATCTGGGAGAAGAAAAAAAGGGAAAATGTACTAAGATTCATAGCAAAGTATACTTGTGCACATGCATTTCCCTGCTGAGCCCAGGCTCTTCACAAGAAAACTGCTTCAGACGTGAAAATAATAATTAAAAAAACAAAACCGACAAAACCAGTGTAACTAGACGTTTTCTTTTCTTTTCTTTCAAAAATCCCCTTCTTTTTCGCTGTGCAATGCAGGCTTGCCCTTTCACTGTCCTCCTCCCTCCCCTCACAGCCCACCTCCTCCCAGCTAGTAATTAGTTACGGCCACAGTTACAGAATCACAATTAAATTTAATGGTATTTACAGTCCTTAGGATAGTGCATTCCTAAAACTCAAAGCAATGCTTCCTTTAGGTACAATGAGAGTTTATTCCCTCTAGTAATCTAGGACTGACCCAATCCAGTGGAAGAGTGACTGGTTCTTGGGTTTACATTTCACTGCTGACACTTATTACCTGGGTCATAATAATGCCTGTGTAATTGGGCAAGTTATTCAGCTTTCCTGGGCCTCTGGTAAGATGAGGGGGCTGGACTCAGATGCCTCTGAAGTTCCTTCCGGCTCTAGAACAATGATTGGATGTTCTGTTTAATCTGTTTCAATGTAATCCATCTCAGGTGCTAAAAGTATCAACCATGGATTGATTTCTATGAACTCCTCTGGTAAACAGGGAATGAGCATCTCTATAAGGGGGAAAATATGAAATACTAAAGTTCACAGACCTAGAAGGGACCTCAGCTATCCAACCTAACCCTTTCAGTAAGTGGCAAAGTGGATTAGCGCGTTGGACCTGGAGTCTGAAAGACCTGAATTCAAATCCGGCATCCAACATTTACAAGTTACCTGCCCTTGGAAAAGTTGTTTAATCTTGGTTTGCCTCAGTTTCCTCCTCTGTAAAATGGGCACAATAACAGCACCTACCTTGCAGGGCTGTTGTGAGGAACAAATAAGGTAACTGTAAAGAGTTTAGCAGGGTTCCTGGCCCAAAGAAAGCGCTATATAAATGTTAGCTATTATTATTGGTATTATTATTCTTCATAGATGAGGAAATTGAGGCTTAGAGATGATGTCAAGGTCACACAGGTAACAGAAGCAGGATTTGAATCATAAAGGTGGTGCTGAAATGGCCACAGATTGATAGCTGGAAAGAATCTCAGAATCTGCCTAGTCCAAATTCCTCATTTTTCAGATTAGGAAACTGAGACCCAGAGAAATTAAATGACTTGCCCAAGGTCACACACACTACAAACAACAGAAGCAGGACTGGAATCTTAGTTCCTCCAATTCCAGAGCCAGCACTCTTTGCACAGGCAAGGTGAGAGCTCAAGGCTTCCTAAAATTCAGACAGAGATGTATCACAGACACAAATCCCTATTTACAAATATATTGTCATATTCTTCAAAGATGTTTGTTATATGTTATTTTTTCCTTTTGCATTTATTTTCAGTCCTGTGACTCAAGGCAGACTGACTCTGTTTCAGCTCAATTTTATCACTGCCATGTCGGACAACTACACTAGGAGAAGTTAAGTGCACTCATAAATGGACCCATCAGAAAAACACTCCAAATCATTCCAGATTTTGTCACCTGGGAGGTATTAGTTAACATTATTAGGTTCTATTTATACAGCGGTTTGGAGAAGAGAACTCACATTTATGTTTATCAACTTTAAGGTTTGCAGTATGCTTTTTTCTCTCTCTATATTTTATCGATGCCTATTGTTTAATTCCCAGTATCCTACCCCCACTTTGAACCTGATTTTTTTTTACATTCTCATATTTTATTTTAAAAAAATTTTTCCCCAGTTACATGTAAAAACAATTTAACATTTGTTTTTCAAAGTCTGAGTTCCAAATTCTCTCCCTTCCTCCCTACCTCCCCTCACTAAGAAGGCAAGCAGCTCGATAAAAGTTATACATGTGTAGAAAGACATTTATTTCCCCTCCAAATACTGCTGCTGCTAGTAGTTTTAGAAGATCACTCAATGCACTATAACTACTCATAGTTACCTAGTCCTCGGAAGGCCCCCTAGTAATACCTGCTCTCATCTGGGTTGCTTTCTATGACGGGACAATACAATAAGCTGCTTGCTTTATATGATTTTACTATTACGTTGAGTGCCTCATAAGAGAAGTATGAAACAAAGAACTGGACAGTGGGGTCTGGTATAAACGAAATATTCTCATCTTGCAGACCATTAGCCCTGCTTCCATTCTGGCTCCCACGGCCACTGCCTGGGGAAGTAACCCTTGTGGAGATATGACCTCTGCAGATGCTGCAGCTGCAAACAGCTCAGTAACCACGGCTATTGAGGACTCAGAAGGGAAAATCCTTACCACCAGACTACTTGGCCTTGTCAGTTCTCAGAAAATGGAAATATCACAAAAGATGCATTGCCACCTGGGTTGCTTGGACACAATAAAGATCACTTGGTCATTCCGTCTAACTTGTAGCTGACATCTTTTACGCATGTTACGTTCCCCAAAATATTACAAGGTGAGCTGCTTGAGAGCAGATAGTAACTGAGTCTAGTATTTAAGCCAAAAGTGACTTTACTTATTAAAACAAGAGGAAACTGAGTCCAATTGTTCTAAGCACTGTCTATGTGGCACAGTTTTCATTTTTACAGGTTTAAAGGGGGGTAATGGATTATGCAAAATTGGAGAAGTATCAAGGATCTTATGGTATTTTTTTTTGTAGTTCCTATGTTTATATTCTCAAACTGTGATATCTATGTTTTACACTAATACATTTTCCTTTATGAGAATCTTGTGAATTCATCAAGAATGTGATTTTGTATATATTCTCATTGTCAAGGTGACTCCAGGATGGAGTAGGTTTTAACTCTTCCTCTTTAGGTGACTGTCCTGTTTTTCTATTGGCATCCTTAGTACACTGCACGTACTCAGTGCTTAATAAATGCTTTTTCATCCCTTCACTGAAGAGCAATGTTAAACCCAAAATTAAAGTGTGTATTCTTGAAGGGGTACTCTCATTACTTATTAGAATATCAGCTCTTTGAGGACAGGGCCTGTCTTTCTGCTTATATAGATTCCCAGTGCTTAGGGCAGTCCGGCACATAAGTGCTTAATGAGTGTTTGTTGATTGGACTCATCATGGCTGGAGTCATGTAAGCTCTGGAAGGTGCTAACAAACCGGAAAGGCTTTCAAACACAGAACCTGTGACAGACTTCATATGTCTACTGCTGTAAGACCAGCCTAGCTAAATTTGTCGAAGTTCTCAAATGAGATAATATGTAAAGCACCGTACAATTCTTAAAATGCTATGTAAATGCTAGCTATTATTATTACCGTCCTGATTATCATTATTATAATAATTAGAGTGGAGAGTTGGCCTTTAACCTCTAACACTGCCTTACAGCGCTGTGTGTCTGTGAAAGCCACCATCTTAACCTTCGTTGACAATTCTGCAGGAGCACCCTATGTGAATATCAGGGAGTGAACTATGAGTGGAAAGTTGGCCAGTTTATTTGGAATCACTGACCATTTCTTTTTCAGGGTCCTAGCTTCAGCATTCTTTATACTTTTCTTTAAAAAAACACACATCAAAAAACTCCTCATTTCAGGTCATTAACAGTAAGGGCCATATAAATGTCAACGGAATACAGAGTAATATACTGAGAGAGTCTTACTAAAATGTGTCTCATTCATGATAGACTTGTCGGGGATTATTAGAGCCCCACTTCGTCTCTCAGACTATTTCTTTATCTATGCTTCACCACATTCCACAGACCATTAGTTCTTTGGGACTTTCTCCTTGACTCCTTTGTCACGTTCTTGCTACCGATCGTGTAGTATACATGGAACAAATGTATGTTACATAAAAGCATATATGTGAAAATCTTTGTGGACTTAATACAGCTTTGGGAATTTAAGTAACTAATGAATGCTTTGTAATCTTGTGTAAATTATGTAGCTTCTCTGGGTCCAGGACTCTTTAGCTGCATGGAAGAGATAACTACAATAACTTACTTTTTACAAGGAGATTGTTGTACGTGGCTAATGTTAAGCTCTACCACACACAAGCAATACAGGTGTATATACATACCTCTGAAATATCCACATTAAAAAGAGACAAATACATATAGTAGGAGTGTTTATTTTCCTCTCTGAGAAATTTTAAGTGTAACAAATGGGTGTTGGATGGATAATTTTTTGGTTCAGTGAAATGAACTGAATGAATATTGTAAATCACACCAGAATACATGCTTGGCCATCACTCTTGGATAATGTCCATATTTGTATATCAATGTAAGTGATAAAATGGTCAAATGATCCTTTGGGGACTTCCTCCTTCTTGCACAGTCCATCTGCTGTTAACATGCTATGGATTTAATACAGTTGCCTACCAATCTATGAGGGATGGGAAGAGGAAGGAGGGTGAATATTTGGTTGGTGCTGTTACATTTTATGAGAGCTTTTGTCAAAAAGATAGACAGAATTAAGATTTCACTAATTCCAAACTGCTCTCACACTTGGTTTGATATTGAAGCCACAATCTCATTCAAGAGAACTGAAGTGATATTAATACACACAAAATGATACAGATCACTGAGCACAAGGTAACATGAAGTTTTTCTACATTTACTGAATGGAAAGGGAGATACAGCACATCAGTCCATTCTTATTTTTTAATTTTTATTTTATTTTTAAATTTTAATTTAATTTTAAAATTTTACTTTATTTTATTTTTTGAAACTAACATTGACTTTGAATTTAATAGTTGCTCATATTTATACTATGCTTTAAGGATTGTAAAGTGCTTTTCACACCATCATCTCATTTGATTTTAAAAACTGTTGGGCAAGGCCTTGGAAATTATATACCTTTTTAGGAGGCTAACATAATAGAATGTCATCTCCAAGCTTTCTCTCACCAAAACTTGTTAATCCCTTTCAGTTTCAAATGTAGGTGATAATGCAAATGTCTGATCAATCCTGGAGAAATATAACCAAACACTGTTT